TGTAGAAAATAGATATAAGAATAAGAGAAAAAAGTTAATGAAATTTACAAATCCTTTTCATAACATTTGTATATACGTGTTATTATTATTGTTGACATTTAACTCCCCATAAAGGGTAACCTTAGGGCCTGCGTATAAGAGAGGAAATATTGGAAATAGATATTAAATATAAGATAATATATAAATTAAATATAAGATAATAAATTTCGTAATAAATTCTTCTATCTTTATTGAGTTTGTAATGTTTACTTATGTTACATTTTGTTACAGGATATTCATTAGTTCTTAAATTATTTCAAAACGTATTTTTCCCTGTGAACTTTAAATCAAAATAAAATATCTGACGAGAATGCTGCTAACATAAGTTGGTTGGAAACAGCAGTTTTAAATTTACCGCTTGTTGTGTGACGTCACACTTCGACAATTTTGATTGGTCGCATGCGCGTGAGCATACCCTTATCCTTAGGGCCTGCGCACAATAGAGGAACAAGAATTAGATATTAAGATTTCATCCTATCAGAAACCGTGTATTCCGATGTAATCAGTTTCTGATAGGTTAAAATCTTAATATTTAATTCCTGTTCCTCTATTGTGCTCAGGCCCTTATACCATGGACACCAGTTGACACTGCGACTGCTCACATCGTACTGTAGCGTGGTTGTGATAGGTTCAGGTTTTCTAACCTGAATATAGTCGTCAACTTTAACGATTCATAATATTCATATCTTGATTTGCGGGACAAAGTGACGCTTATTTCTTTTATTTCGTGCAAAAATACGTCGAATAAGGCTAATTTCATTGATTTTTGTGCGGGGTCTGAACAATTACCGTGCATTTTTACTGATTTTTACTATTAAGATTTGCAGTGAAGGAGTTATTCTAAATAAATACCAATTGTGATTATTGCTAATTTTTGTCTCAAAATCAACAAGGCAGTTATGGATACACAAACAGTAAATACTCGAAGGAAAATATTGAGCCAAGTAGTTTCCAGCATTTTAGTAGAGTGTGGTTATGATACGTGTGAGAAACAAGTATTGGAAACACTCACCGAAATGTTACAATCATGTAAGGGTCAAATTTAGACTTACAAGCAGTTAACTTAATTCTCTCATAAATTTTCTTTAATTTTTTAAAATCCGTCGTTTCTTTATCTATCATAAATTTATTATATAATATTTACATTGTAATATATAATTTAGTAGCAACATCTTAAACTCTTAACTATTAATTCTTCATCTTTTGACGCGTTAATCTTTGTTTACAAAAAGAGTAGCAAAAATAATGATTTTAATAAAATTATTCAGTCAGATTATTTTTTTTTTCTTTTCATGAATGAGTACAGTTATTGTGGAGATTGGCGCTTCAGGAAGAAATTATTGTGAACTTTCTGGGAGAACAGAGCCTCTTATAGCAGATGTGATATTGGCATTAATTAATATGGGCATAAAATTAGATAATATAGAGACTTATGCAAAACGACAAAGTAGGACAGTCCTACCGACACTTCAGCAGCAGACGCAAGCAAAACAATTGAATATCTTGCAAGCTGGTGTTAAGCAAGGCCATCCATCGCATATACCAAATTATTTACCATATTTTCCTGATCCACATGCATATATTAGAACTCCGGTAAATATTTGTTAATTATAATTATGTGCTACATGTATATACATACATATGAACACATACACTTTACATATGTGATAAAAAATATTGCATATGAAACTAATAATAAAAATATATTGTAGACACATAAGCAACCAGTAACTGAATATGAAGCAATCAGAGAAAAGGTAGCAACGCAAAAACGAGATATCGAGAGAGCTTTAACAAGGTTTATTGCAAAAACAGGAGAAACACATAGTTTATTTCTCACAGAAGATAATAGCATGTTTCCTTGTAAGAGAATTATTTATATTGAATCATTCAGCACTTCAATGATCCGAAGAAAAAATCTTATATATCTGTTTTGCTTTTAGTAATATCCTGTAAACCACAATTTCCAAGTTATATCTCTGCTCTTTTACCTCAAGACCAAATATTTGAACCAGATCCAGAGTTTCAGTTTGATTCAAGTCCTGTGAAAAAGAAGAAAGAGCAACAGACCGAAGATAGACTTACAGAGGAAGGTAAGCCTTTTGTACAATAAAACATTTAAATAATACAATTAGTTTAAGAACTTAAACTAACTCTTTGCCTGCAGGTAACCAAACACAAAACGAAAATATGGAGCAAAATGGTGAAACTATTACTCAACAAGATGTTATAGATAATCCGTATTTAAGACCTGGAAAAATTCCTAAAAATAAAATGTCAAGTACAACGATGGGACAGCATTCTGTTACAAAAGAGCTACTTGAATGTTAAGTATCATGATGTAATATTAATTACTATATAAAATAAGATTCGAAAAGTTCACGATGGTGGTATTTTTACGAATTGTAACTGGAAACTCGAACTCTTCTTATGTATAGATCCATATTTTATATTTAATTCGTTTTTATACCTGAATCATTAAGTTAGACGATAAAAATTATATTTTTATTCTGTATTTACATGAAAGTATTTCGAAATACATTCATCACTGAAAATATATATTATAACATTCTATGTCGATTTTTAGAATTGATCCACGGCATATATGCGCGCATGTTATGTACTCACCTACGTAACATATACTAGGAAATAATTATCGTCATATTAAAACTCTCCATCATATAGCAATATTAATTAAAGCATATGTAGTACATATTAATATCATTTGAAAAATAGTTTGGAAACATAATAAAAAGAATGTGATTTAAACTATTATTGCCATAGAATTTACAAATAGATTTTTTTATTATACAAGATAATCCACTTAAACTGAAAACTTTAAATATTTCATTTATTTTTAATATACGAAAAAATTTCTCAAATGAAAGCGAAATGGTTTCGAGGGAGGCGTCACATATCACGTCTTAGTGCCGAGATACCGTGTCTCCAGTATTTTATAATTAATTTGTATAGCTATATATACATGGCTATTTAATAAATATGTAGCAATTATATGATTATATTTATTTTATAAAATCATTTTAGTTTCATCTGATAATATTGTATACAAAAAAGTTAAGAATATTATAAATACGTGTTACTTTTATAAATATGTTTAATTTTATCGAAAAAATGTTCATTAAACTTATTTTTGGACAGTACATATTTTAATACAATTAAAAAAAGAAATTAACAAAGAAGTGTATGTATGTGTTTTACAATTTTATACAGAGTATTTCCTTCAACTCGAGTATTTAAAATATCTGTTGGTTTTAATGGCACAATAAAATATTAAAAGGAAAAATTGTACGTTAAAGTATCTTCTAAAATTCTAAATAATCTAAATTATCGATTTTTTTGTAACTCTATCTGAATATGCAAAGTAGTTAGAGGAATTACATTACATGAAAAATTCCATTTTTTTAAATGATGAGAACCTTTTGATATATCAAAAAATGTGACCTTAAAAAAATTTGTTGTAGTATTTGTCCTTTCAAAAAAACAACTTTTTCCTTTTATGTTTTGTAATATCACTAATATATTGTGGCGCGATTATATCGCCATTACTTCGACTGAAGATGCATTCGGAAATACATAATTTTCATTCGAAAATATCACATTTTCGGAATCGCACGAGAACACATGCAAATATCGAGACCTGCTCAGCTGTTCGATGCAGAAAAAAAAAGGACAATACAAAGACAGACACGAGACGGTTAAACCGAATACGGGCAAACGAATAAAGAGCATAACGACGAATAACAGTTCTAAACGGCATTTTAATTAATATACATGCCATGACAATTCGATATCGAGGTAAAATATAATATGCACGCGCCGTAATTCGATGTTTAGAAATAATGGGATATAGCCGCTGTATCTTGCACAGGCAAGAAAATAAAGTCAAAATATTGCGTTGGATATAAAATCTGTAAATTAAAGCTTTCTCGAACATTCGAGAAGAATTCTAAAATACTAATGCCAATTGAGCCAAACACTGGTTGTAAGTGTGTATTTTAATATATATGTCATTTATTAAAAATGAATATTAACATGTAAACGTTTCGATCTATGGTCAAGGTTCTCTTCAATACAGAAATATATATATATTGACCAAATTAAAAACCATTAACAAATAGAATGTACGAAAAAACTGTGGTATCCTAATTAATCTTGGTAATCTTTGTAATCATCTGATTACAAAGTCAACTAAAAAAATAAAGATTTTTCGTTAAAAAAAAATGACTTACAGTAACGGTTATAAAATAATTGAATTCGAGAAGAAGTAAATAGGTTTCTCCGAGACTGAGATCAGGAAGCAATTGCGAGAGGAGAGTGAAACACTTCTCCTCTGGCTCTCTTCGCGTTTAGTTGTATAGATTTATCGTGCTCGAAATAAAGATTGTAATTTTTTACCAAGTTGAGTCGATCATTGGCACTGGTCACATCATAGTCCGAATCCCGTAATAAACACCAAAATATAATATCAGAGATATTTTAAATGCTCAAGTTAAAAGAAATACCCTGTATGTGTTATTATACCTAGAGGAAAGCCCCTATTATGAGACGCCTAATATGAGATAGCGGCGTTTCTGCTAAACTAATAAACGCTATCTATTGGTTTCATTATGAATTTATTGCTCTTGAATTGAAAACTATTTAGTGGAAAATTCAAATTATTAGATCATGCCTGCAGTCGTTGTAAAAAAAGATTTTAGAATTTGGATGTAAAGTTTCATTGAGAAGAGCCTTTAAACCTTGTTCATTATTTAATAAGTAAATATTTGGCAATAAATTCTTCATGTAGTGATGGAGCAAGATCGTACTAATAGAAAAATATGAAATATGTTGAATTGTTTAATTACAGAAATTTGATTTGATGATCATAAAATCATAAGGCGTGAAAATCGTAATATGAGATACCCAGGAGCATAGATTATTTCTAATATGAAATAATTTATGCTCTTATGTCATAGTGAAAATCGTTACTAAAGTATAAATATTATTGTACAATAATAAAAAGAATAACCGGAATGAACATCGAGTGCCTGTTTCTGCGATGCTTGATTCCAACTATCCGAAGACAAGTCTTGGGTACAATGCGTCGTATGCTCACAGTGGTTGTGGCTGTTTGTATTTTAGAAACATTAAATAAAGTTGTTTAATTGCAATGTTGATGTACTTTGCGTTTATTATCGATTTCACGAGGTATCTCATATTAGGAGCACAATTTTTTGATTTTGTGATTTGCTCACTTTTTACATTTCTTTAATTAAAAAAAAAAATAATTTGAATTAAATTTTACATATTATTATCTTAAAAGTTATTAATCTTAAAAGTTATTAAATTTCCTTCAAAACGATCTATTATTTTTTTAAATTCCATCTATAGACTTCTAGCATTTACCCAAAATAAACTCGGTATCTCATAATAAGGGCCTTTTCTACATATATAAAATTACTTTTATATAGAAGTATTAGAGATATTAGCCTTTTTAAATAAAATATGCTAAACTAAACATTTTCCATCTAATTACCTAGGAGATCAAAGATTAATTTTTAATTTATATATATATATATTTGCGTTTATAATCATAATAATAAAATTGAAAATTATTACATGTTAAGTTGTTCAATTGTATGTTATAAAAAATATGTTAAACGTTATAAAAATTATAAATAATAAAAAGTGAATATTGATTATAGTTGCTTATTTATTTATAAAGGCCTGTGCGTTTTAGAATTTGCGTATATTTGTGACTATACATATTCCCAAACAACACGAATGACTGTCTGTCGACTTATAGTCAACTTTTTTCCAATCGGCATATAGTTGACTGTTGAAAGTTGACTTAAAATCGGCTGTTCCCAGTTGACGTAGAATAAGTCGACATTCTAAGTCGTAAGTTGACATTAGAATGTCGACTGTTAGTTGACTTTTTTTGAGACATTCGTCAAGTATTAGTCGATTATTAGTCGACATTCGATCAACTTATAGTCGACTTTCAGTCGACTTCGTGTTGTTTGGGTTATTTCTTTTTAAAACATTTTCATTAAAAAATCTAATCTTATATATATTGAACGAGCAAAAATAAACTAACAGAACAAATAAATTAATTTCAAAATCTGTTAAACATAATACATAGCACATAATTAGTACTTACAACATAGAGACACAACACACACACATACATATATATATATGAATATGTTGTGTGTGTAAACACTAAGCAAAATCTTGCATGCTCTCTTCTTGAAAAATTTTATTTTTCTTGTATTATTTAATATTGATACCATGGCTGACGACGTACCCAGCGCAATTTCATACCAGAAGCTGTACGAATTTTTATGCTAGCACATTCCGCTGCACGTACTGTCTCTTTCACGCTTTGCATGAGATTCTGAGCATTTCCGACAAGCATGTCCGTTGCTTCCTGATCTTCTTCCGTACCTGTGTTAACATCATAAAAGCAACTATCAGATTAAGTTGGAAAAATAACTTTCTTATTATTTAAAATACATCCATGTTTACATATATTTTTCTCATATAAATCTTTAAAATTGTTGTTATTACTATTACATGATTGTAAAATTATATTTGTAATATAAAACTCTAAACACAATGCGAAGTAACAGCGATAGCGATAGAAACAGAGGAATCCAACATTCGGGAATGCATATGTATGCACATAGGAACACACTGTAATCTTGAAATAGAAAAGTATATCACAGTCTACACGCGATCAGATTGGCCTTTTTATTTCTTTCGCAGCATTGTACAACGGGAGGCAACAATTATATATCGCTTATTTCTTCTATTCTTATCTCTACTATTTTTATCGTTGTCCTTGTCGCTGCTGCATTGTGTCTAGGGCTTAAGAATGATATTTTAACTAACGTATTAAATGACAATCATATCAAATGGAATGGATAAAAGGATAAATATGCACAATATAAATATATAATGTCATTCTAAACTATATAACAACCGATAAATATTTTTTGTAAAGTGAAAAAGGATTTTCTTCACAAATGTAAAATCTTTTGTGAAGTGTGTGTATGCGTGTGTGCGCGCGCGCGTGCATGCGTGCGTGCTTTACATGCAGGATATGTATGATAATTTCCCATATCCGATTTTTTTCCACAAGAACAATAAACCCCCTCTTAAAACATTGTATACATATCTTTTTATAAGTAGTTTTGTTGATTGAAAAAAAACCGCGACTTTTGGTGGACTACCACTTCTGAATATTTATCGTACTTTTATATGCAAAATAATTAAAGGGATCTATTATGTAAAAAAAGTCATATTCAATCAAATTCCATTTTAAAAGTGGAGGTAACTTTCACATCTTTTTGACATCTCTACTTAGAAAAGAACAAAGTGGCCAAAAATACGTTCCCCTCAAAATCGTTTCACTTATGTATGAAACGATTTTCTGTATCATCTATATTTTCGAGTTATTGGCTTGTCATACTTTACGTGAGTCACTTTGTTTATATACAAGGTGTTTGATAAAAACCGTAACAATGCTTAAGGATAGATTTCTAAAATCATTTTAAGACAAAAATCCTAATACCAAAATATCGAGTCTATAATAATTTTTGAATTATAAGCATTTAAAATTGTTGAATCATCGCCTAAAGTTCGCGCGTCCAGATATGATATGATACAACGAAAAATGTCAACCATATCTACCTTGTGCTGAGTTCAGATTCCCACTCGAGTGTCACCTAGGTATCACTCCATCCTTGTTGTTTATCGTACATTAGACAAGGACATAACACCTGGGGAGCATCTCGATGGGAATCTGAACACGCCTTTGGAAGTCTGTAAC